GGGAAGGGAAGGGAAGAAGGGAAGGGAAGGGAAGGGAAGGGAAGGGAAGGGAAGGGAAGGGAAGGAAGGAAAAAGAGGAAAGGAGAGATGTGTTTCTTTCACACTGATGCTCACCACATTTTACTTCGATCTTAACTGAGAAGAGATTCTTACCCCTCTCAATTGACTATTCAGCCATCAGGACTGGGATTTGCTCCAGAGCTGGTGACTCTTAGATAGTGTCTATTCAGTGATACTCCTTCTTTATGTGTGATATGGAAGCTTGCAGAGTAAGGGTGTATCCAAGGAGAACAGGGTAGGGGATACAGAAAGAAGGAGCATTGGCCATAATCTCTGCTGTGAAACCTCCAACCTGGTTTTCACATCGACAACTGACACAATGTGAGATGATGAGAAAGATCCCATAACAGACTTGCGGAACATAGGCCTTTCTGACCTTGACCATGTATGTTAAAGAAGGACATCACATTGACTTGCATGTCATTTAGTGTTTATTTACATCTGCAGCCTCTGTTTTCAATGAGGACAAGGTTTTCTGTGGCTACTTCCTGTCAGCACTTTACCCATCGTTCAGGATCTAGTTTGCTTTCAGCATGACTCAGAAATTGTTTCTGAAGAATGTCAACTCCTTTGGAAGTAATTCAATTATCATTAAACAAATAAGACATTTCTGCCAAGTATACTGAGATGACTATATTTTGTCCTTGATAAAGTTATAGAACAAAATGAAGATAAATGACACAGGGTATATTATAATATATATTAAGCCACTAAAATGTCTTATCTTGTAATTCATCATCAGCAAAACACAATGTCAACTCCTGAACCTAATTTAAAAATAGGCACTGCTTTTGCACATTTTTATTAAAGCAGAGAGAGTACAGCTCAAAATAATTCAATTTATTATAAAGAAAGTATGTTGTACAATTCTCTGATTAAAATTGCAGTTTATTTGTTGAAATCAAATTTTCTGCATAAGAGAGAATAAAATAGCTGTTTAATTCACTCAATGAAGAGAAAATATTATTTTAAAACATTCTCAAAGAAGCCCTGTGTAACAGAAAAGGTTCAATGACATTTCCTTCTTCTCTTATTATTTACATCAGCAGCTTGCAAACCTCACTGTGATATGGAATCTCCATTTTGAGTAATTTGGACATGATTGAATCCCGAGGCCTCTTTTTATAGAAAACGGGTCACAAAGTTAGTAGGAAAAATTGGAGTAACACACAAAGATGGTAAAGCCTGGTGGGTGGCTCACTAGGTAAGAAGTCTTATCCTAGAGGATTTTAAAAGGTTACAAAACATAAGTAATAGGCTCCACAGTGGCCCAGGACTGTACATTCCTATTGACTGAGCTTTGGAGTAAGATGAAATCCACCTAGTAGAATGGTAATCTAATGCATCATTGTTGGCCAGAATCAATGATGAAAGAGTTGGCTACAAAGCAGTTCTCACCTAATGGAAATCTACCCAAAGCACAAAAAGGAACGGAACAGCTGTGGGAAATCCATACAGCATCTGGAGCTAAGTCCAGTGTCTTCCAGTAAAAATAATGAGATAGCAATAATTATAAATTGTTCTAGAAACAAAATACTCTCGAAATGAGGGTTTCCCTGTTACTACAAAGAAAAATATATTTCTGGTAATATTGATCTTCTGCATAATAAAATTAAAGTTTCTATATTTTAACAGAAGAATCACAACTTCCTTAAGACTTGCACTATCAAGAGAGGAAAACTTGAAGTGAATATATGAGTCAGTGAGTGAAAATCAGCTTGGGATAGTGTGGAAAATGAGAAAATTAAATAGAGGCAAAATGCTGAAACCGAAACTGGGAAACATTCTCTGGATACGCAATATACAGAAACTTGATATAAAAAAACAACAACACTGGAATAAATAAAAATTAAAATTCCTATAAGGAAGACAGAGAAAATTAATAATTGCAAAAGACAGAAACATTCACATAGTGGCATTGGAGGCAGGGAACAATGATGTGAATTAGAGAAAATATGCATGAGGATAAAAACTTAATGGTGGCTCTAAGTAAAATGAAAAATGATGCTGATGAGAGCTTATGGAGGAGAGAAAAAAATCCTTGAGTATAAAATACCACAAATTGTGATTTTTTTCTGTCTCTTTAGTTATATTTTCAAAGTGTTTTAGTGTGGTGCTGAAATTTATTGTATCTTCAAAGTTTTAGATGAGAGAGAACTTGGGTTAGAAAATTCTTGTAGAACTAATTTTTAATACAGCTCTGTACATTTTTCTGAATTAAGAAGGAATGGGTGCTGTGACAGAAATCTTCCCCTGTCTCTGACCTTAGATGGTTCTGTACATGTTGCCCTCTGTAACAACACAGGAGACTGAGACAGAAAGACCTTGTTATCACACTGTTTTATGCCAGCTTTCTTGTTTCAGAAATGATGAACTGCGTACCTGTGGGGTGTGGCCTCTTCCTCAGAAGGTAACATGGCCTGAGAGGGAATGTCCTTTAACCTAAACTGAATAAGATCATAGATATTTCTTCTTACAACATAAGTAAACCTAATGAGTATACATGCTTAGTGTAGAACATATGAAAACCAAATACAAAACCAAACAGAAACCCTGCACAGTGAAGGTGTAATTCCATCTCACAATAATGAGCTATGTAGCATTTTAGCATATTTCTTTGTCTTTATTTGCATACATAAATGCAATTAGCTTTGAATTAAAACCGCATAAACTTCCTTTTGTTTTGTCCATGACATTAAAATCTTGCAGGTAGGTACCAATAATTTTGCTTGAACAGAGGCTTCAGCTTTTTATCATTTGGCCTGCATATCAGCTCTATTGCCCTGCAATGTACTTGGTGTAGACAGCCTTTCCTGTTTCAGAGAACATGCTGTCCCTCTCGGTTGTCTTACTGCTGACTTGGGGAGCTAATAACTGCCTAAGTTCTGATGACAGATTCCTTGAAGCTTTGCCTCTGATGGCTTACTGATGACTTACTGCAGCATCACCTTGCACTGGTAACTGACACCTCAGTAGCTCAGTCCCAACCTGAATCGTCAACCCTGTTAGTCCAGCACAGCAGAGAAGTGGGTTTTCTTAATCACTCCTCAGAGTCTGTGTCTGATTCTGCTCCAAGTCATTTCACAGACTTGTGCTGAGGTGCCTTACTCTTTCTCCCTGGTGTCTTGAAAGGGATGCATGGAGTGGTGTCTGACTGTGCATTTCTCTTCCAGGTTAGCCCGCACTCAGAGGGTATTCATTCTTCCTGGGGACTAGTTTGTGTATTTTTACTCCTGCTTGCTCACTTGTTTGCATCTTGCCTGTGCCACAGTTTTCTTCTGTCTCCTTCCAGGCTGATCAATGCTGGGAGATGGATACATGAAGGATTAATAATTCGGAATAATCAATATTTTATATACTACACTTGAAATTCTTATGCAAATGAAATAAATAAAGCTTGTGTCAATGTTTCTGTAGCTTAGTGTGTTTCCTTTTCATTTTCTCTGCAGCAAGTTCCAGGTGGAAATTTTTCATAAAATCTATGATCACTAATTCACTCCAAGGAGAGGAATCCAGGTTTCCAAATCATTTCTTGGTAGATTATGGAAAAGCTAGAACTGCCAGTCATTCCCCCTAAGTTTAAAAAAAAAAGGGCCATCTGAATGCCATATTCATGGGGGCAATGGCTGTGAAGTCAAGTGTCTGCATCAACAGTGTGAGCTTTGCAATGGCTGCTTTCATAATGAACATGGGCAGACTTCTTTCCTTGTTATTATTAACCAAACCACATAGTATAAGCACTGTTTACCTAAAAATGTGCATATGTCATGTACACTGTGCTACTTCATTTGAGGAACTTGAACAAACCATGCCCCTCAGGAACTGAAGGATGACTGTCAATTTTAGTCCTTGACTGTGAGGCAGCAAATAGAGGTTTAACCTGAGAACCAATTTAGTTTGGGGTTATAGATAACCCATGTTGGTTTGAAAGAAAATGTTCCCGCATAGACTTATAAAAAGTGGAACTATTAGGAGGTGTGGGCTTGTTGGAACAGGTGTGGCATTGGAGGAAGTTGGTCCCTGGGGGCAGGTGGGCTTTGAGGTCTCAGATGCTCATGCCAGGCCTAGTATGGCATTCTCTTCCTGCTGCCTTGTGACCTAGATAGAGAAATCTCATCACATTCTATAGCACCATGTCTGCCTGCATGCCACCATGTTTTCTGCCATGACAATAACGGACTAAACCTCTGAAACTGTAAGCCTGCTCCAATTAAGTGTTTTCCTTTATAAGAGTTGCCATGGTTATGATATCTCTTCAGAGCAATAGAAACCCTAAGATACCCCAAATGTAATTTATTCACCTGGCATCTTAGTTCCTTCACATGCATATACTATGTACAAATAGCCCACTACAAACAATGCCTTACTAAGCAATTTCAGAACCTTTTGACCCTTCAGGTCCATTGGTCTCTCTGTTCTCCCATCTCCGAATAACAGTGTGTTTCTCTGCCCCTAGTAACAATCAAATATAAAACGTTTTTATTCAAGTGTATACTCAACCTTTTGGGGATTAAAGAATAGAAAGGATGATCTGGCTGAACTGGTTTCAGGTGGCTTATCAATTGGAAAAATGTTATGTCCTTTATTAAAGCTTTAAGGAGATGCTATTTAGCATCTTGTACCTATATATTTGAATCTTAGATGGTCTTTTAATAAAAATAAATAAATAAATAAATATTAAAAAAAAACAGAGCCAGTTATCAGGGTGAAAGCTGAAAGATCTAAAAAGCACAACAGCCAGCCATTTGCTCTTACCTCTATGAAATTCTCAGTCTAAAGAGAGGAAGTTCCTGTTTCCTCACACCTTATATACCTTTCTCTGCCCTGTCATCTTACTTCCTGGGATTAAAGGTGCATTTGCTTCCCAAGCAAAGGCATGAGATCTCAAGTGCTGGAATTAAAGCTGTGTGCCACCACTGCTTGACCTCTATGTCTAATCTAGTGGCTGGCACTGATCCTCAGGCAAGTTTATATATCACCACAACTGGGTGTGCATATGATTAAAATTGGATGCATTATTGGAAGGAACAGGAACAATAGGGAAAATGATTGTATGATCTAATCTACCAATCAAGATAGAGCATCACCTGAACTACATTCTTTAGCAACAAGTCACTCTTTTCTTGAACCCCATAAAAGAAAGCCTTGAAGAATAATGGGGGCACTTAACTACTCTCACTCATGTGATCTATTGTCTTATTTGGGGGTATTTTATTCTCATTGATGTTTGTGGACTCAGAACTTCTGTAGTAGTGTGTCTAGCTCTGCCCATGCTTTCCATCATTACAGATAAATGAGGGAATGATGAAATTATACTCACCTATTTCAACATTTTTCTTATATAAAATTGTTAATGGTATCATAAACCAGACTCTCAAAATTTATTTTGTTAGCTACAGTAGAGATAAGCAAGTACCACAGCTTCCTGAGACCTGGTGAGTGTTGGTACTGTTTTATATAGTCCTCATTTCTAATATCACATCTATGTTTCAAATAGAAGTCACTCAGGTCAGTTGTCCTGTTAAGGCAGGATAGAGAGAGAAGGGGAATTATGAGGATGTGGGAGAGGAAAGGAGCCTCTACCCCCACAGTTTGATTGATGCTTCTTACCATTTGAGCATCAGGGATTTGGATACAATAAACATTTGCTTAAGTTTTTATTTTCAAACATAAATCTACATTTGTTCCTAAGTTTATTCTCACTTCTTCTACTCACTTGTTTCCATTATTTGCTATACCAAAATCTTAAACAAAAGTTTCTGTTGATTTTTTTTATCATATCTATTTTACAGACCTATTTACGTTTTATGCCACTGTGATAAGATAGAATACAACAAATTATTATAATATTCCTATATTTGCTAGGACTCTCTGTATTTAGGTACATAATCTAGTTAAGAGAAAGTTCTATATTTCATGGAAAAAAAGTGTATTTTTTCAGTATTTGGATTGATATACGTGAAATCTACTTGATCTATAACATCATAGGATTATTACAAAATACATGTTAAAAATATGTTATACAACATATAAATGATTAGGTGGTGACAAATCATATAGTCAGCTAAAAATTATTGGAAATAGAGCATGGCAGAATCCAACATTCACTCAGTATAAAACTTTTTGCATATAATCTAACAAAGGCAATATATCTCAACATAATAAAAGCTATGTATGACAAACTTACAGCTGATATTATATTAAAAGGAAAAAATTACACAAAGTACGTGCACTAAAACAAGGAATATGACAAGAGTATCTACTCTCTCCACTCTAATTCAATATAGTAGAAGAAAACTCAGCTAGAAGAATAGGACAAGAGAAGTAAATGAAAGAGTTTCAAATAGGAAAGGAAAAAGAGTTCTCTAGTTGTAGAAGATATGATATAGTTACATGTACATTTATACTACTCATTTAATATATATATATATGAAAGACCACAAATAATCCATCAGAAAAGTCTTATTCCTGCAAATATTTTCTGCTGCTGTGGGAGGATGTTCTGTATGGCAAATGTGTTGCTCTGATTGGTCAATAAATAAAACACAGATTGACTGTGGCTAGGCAGGAAGTATAGGTGGGACTAACAGAGAGGAGAAAAGAAAGAACAGGAAGGCAGAAAGAGTCACTGCCAGCCACCATCAGGACAAGCAGCATGTGAAGATGCCCGTAAGCCATGAGCCACATGGCAAGGTATAGATTTATAGAAATGGATTAATTTAAGCTATAAGAACAGTTAGCAAGAAGCCTGCCATGGTCATACAGTTTGTAAGCAATTTAAGTCTCTGTGTTTACTTGGTTGCGTTTGAGTGGCTGTGGGACTGGCGGGTGATAAAGATTTGTCCTGACTGTGGGCTAGGCAGGAAAACTCTAGCTACATTCTGCAAAGTGTCAAGGTACAAAATTCAGTAGCTTGAATGACAAGTATGTTCAACAGCTAATCATGAGAAAAATTCTGTTGAACATAGCCTCACAAAAATATACCTTGGGCTAATATTAATCAAGGATGTGAAAGACCTCCACAAAGAAAACATTAAAGTATTGAAAAAAAATTGAAGAGGTCAATAAAGGATGGAAAGATCTCTCATACTCTTGAATGGTTAAGGTTAATATGAGGACAGTGGTCATCAGCTAAAAATAATCTACAGCTTCAATGTAGTCCCAATTAAATATCCAGTAAAAATGATTCACTGAGGCAGGTAAAAACATTCTTAAAATTAATATAGAAGCACAAAAATTCCCTTTAATAATAGCCAAACTAATCCACTCCCAATATCCCTCAAGAAAAAGTACTGATCATCATACATGATCAAAATTCAGTATAAATATAATAATAATAGCAACATTGGTCCTGTCATTAAAGAAAACATTTAGGTCAACAGAATGAATAAAGGAACTCATCAGGCTTCTAAGGACAATAGCCTGGGACTGTGCCCATACCTCTGCTACTCAGTAAGCTATTTTGCTTCCTGGGCCCCCTGGCTTCAAGAATCAAGAAGTGTGATGTTTGGGGCAGGACTGGCATGACTAGCTGCATTCTTATTTGCCATCTCAGGCTCTCTCTACTGCCACAGACTGGAAAACACTGACTTTCTTTGTCTCTTAACCTAGGAGACCTTAAATTATATTTGGTATTATTTGGGGGCAAAAATATGTTTTTAATTTAGATATTATGAAAATTAATCTAGCAAATTACAGAATGATATAAAATTATGATATACTCCATGTTGACATCTACTTGAATGATCTCAAAACCACAACAAATAATTAAGCAAGTAATTCATTTTAAAGCATAAGTTGCTAACTCAAAAGTACAACTTTGACTTCAAAGTTTATAAGAAATAGTTTATTCTGGAGAAATATGAATGACCGTGGCCTGGAAACAGAGATTCAGGTTGCCCCAAATTCCATGTTCTAGCAGGGAAGCAGTTTCACAAAGTATTTATAGTATGAGAACAACAAAACGTCATTAATCAAGACAATTTTCAAATATATTGTGAGGAGAGAGAGAGAGAGAGAGAGAGAGAGAGAGAGAGAGA